TGTGTGTGTGTGTGTGTGTGTGTGTGTGTGTGTGTGTGTGTGTGTGTACACGCACACACACCACATCTTCTTTATCCATTCATCCATTGATGGCCATTTGGGCTCTTTCTGTACTTTGGCTACTGTTGATAGTGCTGCTATAAACATGGGGGTTTATGTGTCCCTTCGAAACAGCACACCTGTACCATGTGGATAAATGCCTACTAGTGCAATTCCTGGGTCGTAGGGTAGTTCCATTTTTAGTTTTTTGAGGAACCTCCATACTGTTTTCCAGAGTGGCTGCACCAGCTGGCATTCCCACCAACAATGCAAAAGAGATCCTGTCTCCGCATCCTCGCCAACATCTGCTGTTGCCTGAGTTGTTAATGTTAGCCATTCTGACAGGTGTGATGTGGTATCTCATTGTGGTTTTGATTTGTATTTCCCTGATGATGAGTGATGTTGAGCATCTTTTCATGTGTCAGTTGGACATCAGGATGTCTTCTTTGGAAAAGTGTCTATGTCTTTTGCCCATTTCTTCACTGGATTATTTATATTTTTGGTGGGGGAGGGTGTTGAGTTTGGTAAGTTCTTTATAGATTTTGGAACTAACTGTTTATCTGATATGTCATTTGCAAATGTCTTCTCCCATTCTGTCCATTGCCTTTTAGTTTTGCTGATTGTTTCCTTCTCTGTGCAGAAGCTTTTTATTTTGATGAGTTCCCAGTAGTTCATTTTTGCTTTTGTTTCCCTTGCCTCTGGAGACGTGTTCAGTAAGAAGTTACTGCGTCTGAGATCAAAGAGGTTTTTGCCTGCTTTCTCCTCCACAGTTTTGATGGCTTCCTGTCTTACATTTAGGTCTTTCATCCATTTTGAGTTTATTTTTGTATATGGTGTAAGAAAGTAGTCCAGGTTTATTTCTCTGCAGGTCACTTCCAGTTTTCCCAGCAACACTTGCTGAGGACACTCTCTTTATTCCATTTGATGGTCTTTTCCTCAAAGATTAGTTGGCCATACGTTTATGGGTCCATTTCTGGGTTCTCTATTCTGTTCCATTGACCTGAGAGTCTGTTCTTGTGCCAAGGTTTTGTTTTAATTATATAGGTTAAGTATCAAATACAAAAATATTTGTCTTGAAGAAAGTTTATACTATACTGACAGACATGAAAAGGAGAATGAGTCATGTCATTCCATGAAGGGCCACATGGGGAAGGATCAGAGGAGGAGAGGAGACAGCATGGCCTGGAAGCCTATATTAGGAAGGAAGACAAGATGTGGTATATTTGGTGGGTTAGGATTGGCCAGTTTTAATAATTTCCTTGGGGTATTTTATGGTATGGGGAATGTTGGATTGGTATGTAGATTAAAGTTTGGGGATATGGGTCTGATTGGTTGGTTTGTATTATGACAGTGTACTTAGAGGGGAGACATTTGTTCTCTGTAGGGTTTAGCCAGCTCAGGAGGAAGCTATGTCTCCAGGATCAAGGCCCCAAATGAGAAAGCATGAAGCATACAGAAAATAAGAAATTATCACCAATAAGCTGCATTACTTGGAGTTCGAATAGGCATACATTTTGTATACCATCAGCAAAAATTATAAAGATTAGAAACTGTATCTAATAGCATTTTTGAAGGTGAATTAGAAAGTGAGAAAGTGGAGATTGGAAAGCCAATTAAGAAGCTTAGTAGTTGTGGGACAACTGGGTGGCTCAGTCAGTTAAGCGTCTGACTTCGGCTCAGATCATGATATCGCAGTTTGTGGGTTCGAGCCCATGTTGCGCTCTTTGCTGACAGCTCAGAGCCTGGAACCTGCTTCAAATTCTATGTCTCCCTCTCTCTACCCCTCCCCTGTTTGTACTCTGCCTCTCTCTTTCAAAAATAAACATTAGACAGACACACACATATTTTTATATGTTTATATAAACACTTATATGTTTATATTTGTTTAAATAATGATATATATTTATATAATATATATGTAATGTTTATTTATTTTTATGTACATAAAAGAGGCTTACATAGTACTTGTAACATAAGTAAATCATGGCCCCTGGTAATTCTCCCTTTCTCACTCCTTTAATGCACTTGCTTTTTAGCCCTGTATATTTCCCTTTTTTCCTTTGTGGGGGGGGGGGGGACTGGCTGTTTATCCTGTCTATCCCAAGGCAAACTTGGTAAATAACCTTCTTCAACTCTGTCTTTTTTTTGAGAGAGAGAGAGAGAGAGAAGAAAAGAGACAGGAAGAGAGGGGTGGGGGAAAGAGAGGGAAAGAGCATATGCACACAAGTCTTATGGTTTTAGGTATCTTATATAGAAGGTACCTTCATTTTACTTTGTTCAAAGATGAATTTATTTTTTACCTTTTGTAGCTGGTACCAATTCACCTGTGGCCTGGAGAACCTAAATACACTGTGAGAATTATTTCTGCAGTCAGAAGGTCAGTTAAGATAGGTCACTTATAAGATACACAGAAATGTCCAAAGAGTGTTTACCATTGTTAATGATTTTTGAATTTCTATCATTTTATAATCTAGGAAGGAAGATTGCAGACTACATTACATTAAAAGGTGTAGTAAAATCTTGCTGAAACTCCCCAATACAAATTGTGTTAAGGTGAACATGAAAGAGTCATTGGATTGCTGGTAGAGAAGAGGCAAGAGGGAGTCATCTGGGGTATAAGAAATGTTGTGTATTGTGATCTGAATAATGTTACTATAAGTTTAAATATATACTTAAAAGTATAAACATTTATATATATAAATTATTAAGCAGAACACTCAAGATATATGTTCTTTATGTAAGTAATACTGTAATTAAAACAAAAATTCCCAAACACAGTTAACTTGTTTAACTCCTTTTCACCCATTAAATGATACAGCTGCTCATACATCAGTATAAATCAGATGTTCCCTTTTATTATATTTGATAGGGTTTGATAAATTAAATTTGAACATTTCAGAAATGTGAAGATCATGATGACATTTTAAGTATGTGATATAATTAATATTTGGTGTACTTTATTTCCTGGCTTAGGAGCTGTGACTAATGAGAATCAAAGGCCATGGATGAAGATGAACTTGAATTGCAGCCACAAGAGCCAAACTCTTTTTTCGATGGAATAGGTATATCTAATTCTTGGGTTGTTCCACTTCCCAAATTTGGAGTTTGCTTATCAAGAGGATAAGTTGCTAGATCTTAACACTGATTCATTATTAAGGATCTTCCATCCTTTCAGAGTCTCCCAGCCAGCTCATAATCTTGTCAATACCCCATTAATATCAAAAATGCGTGTTGTCCCGTTATTCTCATTTTCCCTAGTTACACCATTAATCCTATCAGTTCTTCCTTTGGAAGTTTTTCATGACTATTTCTGCTTGTAATTAGTTTTGTATTGTTGCAACAATATATTTCCACAAATTTGGTGACTAAAACCGTGCCAATTTGTTACCTTACAATTTTGAAGATTATAAGTGCTTTTACAAAGTAGTATAGCTCAACTGGTACAGAATTTTGTACCAGTACAAAATTTGTACAAATCAAGGTTTTAGCAGGCTGCGTTCTTTCTGGAGCCTCTGAGAGAGAATCTTCCTTCATGAACATTCAAACTTTTGGCCAGATTTAGTTCCCTATACTTGTCTTCTTTTCTTATGAACTATTATTAGCCTGGACCATTTTTTTGTTTCTTGAGGCTGCCCACATTCCCTCTCATGCTTTACATGTCATTTCCTTTAGCAACAGTGAGTTGAGTCCTTCTCATGCTTTGATTTTTTTTGACATTCCGTTCATCATGTATCATCTGACTCCAGCCGGCAGCTTATCCAGTATAATTGACCTTCTATCCGTAACCCTAATTATATATTCAAGGTTTCTTTTACTGTGTCACATAATCTATTTGAAGATCCAGGGATTTGGGTGTGAATATCTTTCTTTGGGAGACCATTCTGCCCCCAAACTTCTTTGTTCCCCCCACAATAAAATTTAACACTTTCTTCTGAGATACTCAGATTTAACATTCCAAATTCTCATCTGAAATTAAGCAGCTCAGCTGCATCCCCGTTGTTTTAGAATATAGCAGGTTTTTTTCTTTTATTTTGAGACTTTGATTTGCCATCTGATTCCTTCCTTGGCCCATTGCTTGTGTAGTAGTGTGTTGTTTAATATTTACATATTAAATATTTATCAAAAGGAATTGAACAGCTCAGAAATTTTCATAGCATCTAAATCAGGGGCCGATAATACTTGAGGAGTGGTTCATTAAGTACTTCTGGGGCGCAAAGTTTTCTTTACCAGTGGACTTGTGAAGCTAAGCAACAAGCTATCTACTCCCATTATGAGTGGTAGTGCAGTTTTTAATATTCTGGTTACAACAGAATTAAAAGGAAAGTAAATGGAGTCTGTAGTCTAAAGAAGTTTTGAAATACAATTGGGTAAACTCCATTAGTTCCCAAGCCCTGGGAATAATCTTCATGGTTGATGGCTCCCTGCTCTGAGTCATCTTTGGTTTTTGTTGGTTTTTTTTTGTTTGTTTTTGTTTTTCCCTATCATCAGTGATAGCAGGTGTTCTTATTAGCTTGCTCCCTGCACCTAGACTTTGGGAGTCCAGCAGTTCTTAACACTGTCTCCATGCCTTTCAGTCCAAGTTAGCATTTAAGGCATTCAAGATCGTGTTGTTTCTGGTGGTATAAAATTTTTTTTAAGAGTTTTGTGCATCTCCTGGGTCATGAGAATTTCCTTCATTAGACAAGTGATTCCCTTTACATACCTTTCAGAAATACTACATTTCTTTTTGACTTCCTAGAAATGGCTGAGGGATACTGCTTTTAAGCTCCTTAGAAGTACCTTAGTTTGATTGAGGGATTTTGTGAGGCACACAATTAATGGCCTCAGAAAGACATGAAATGACTCACTTTTCACATCTGTTGATCTTCAAAGAGGAGATCTAGAATCATTAGACTACTGTTTCTCTAGAACTTTCTTTCTGAAAATTTAATTTTTTTAATTTAATTTTTTCTTTTTCTTTTGTCATCTCTATAGGCTGAGAATTTGCCAGATTATTAAATCATGCTACCTTTTTGCTTATTGTTTCTTCTCTCAACTTATCTTTTTTTTTTTTTTTTTTTTACTATAAGCAATAGAAGAAACCAGGTCACATCTTCAGCGCTCTGCTGAAATCTCAGCTAAATATCTGAGTTCACAAGTTATGCTTCCCACATAACTGCAGCATACAGTTTTGCTAAGCTCTGTGTCAGTGTTTAACAAAAATATTACTTCTTTCAGTTTCCAGTAACCTGTTTCTTCCTTTTAACCACTACTGGCAAAGTTCTTAAAATGGGGATTTCCATTAACAGTCAGTATATGGTGACTTAGGTATTCTCTGAGTCTACAGTGTTCATTTCTTCTTTCTGAGTTCTCAGTAGCATGGATTGTTAACATCCATAATTTTCCCAGTAGTCTGTTCAAGGGAATACTGCATTCCAGAGCCACTTAACAATTGTAGCTATTGTATAGCAGCACTTTACTCTCTACCAAATCTGATTTATTTCAATTACAATGCCAAAGTTAAATTTAGCAGTTTAAATCAATAAAATTCATTGTTTCTCTGTTTCTGTGGGTCAGAAATCTATCATGGCATGACTGGGCTTTCTGCTTTGGATTTCATATGGCTGAAATAAAGGTGTCAATGGGGTGTTGTTCCTTTCTGGGACTCTGGGGATGGTTCTCATTCCAAGCTAACTGGGAATCAGTTTACTTCCTTTCACCTGTGGGACTGAAGTCCTCATTTCCTTGGTAGCTTTCAGCTGAGGGGACATCTTTCCTCCTTGTGTCTGCTTGTGTTCCTTGTCATGCTTTCCATGTGGCCCATGCAGCAACATTGAATTGAGTCTCTCAAACTTAAAATTCCACTTTACTCTCTAATGCCACTTGGGAAAAATTCTGCTTTAAGTGTTCATGTGATCAGATTGGACCCACTTAAAAGTTTTAGTGTAAGTTTTATGACCTTAGTTACATCTGCAAAGTCCTTACAGGACTATATTGTAACATATTCATAGTTCCAGTAATTGGAATGTGGACATCTTGCAGGGGTGGGTTCAGTGAAGTGGATAGGCTAGGAAGTCTGCCTTCCACTTAACCACTGCTCTTACCAGTTTCTACCACTTCACCCAGGTCCTGTTACCTCGTTTAAACTTATAATATTAAAAACTGTTTTCCTCACTCTCAGTTTCCTTCTTTTATTTACCACCCCAATAGTATACTCATCCTAGCGTAACACCTGGAGCATATCATTGCACTTTTTCATTGCCCAGAAGATAAGGTATAAAGGTCCTCTGCATTTTGACATTTTCCCACTTTCACAGCCCTGTTTATCAGGAGGATTCTCAAGGAACCTTATGCATCAGGCATATAGAGTCTTGCTTATTTCTTCAACTGCACAAGGAAAATTATATTCATGAAGTTTTAATAGTGGGAAAAAAATGGGTAACCAGATTACCCAAGGTTCTAAGTAAATAATATTGAAAAGCATTGCACTAGATTTTATAATATAAAATTGCTTTCTGTTACCTACTCTTACTAATTAAAATTTTAATCATTCAGTTTTATGTGATCATATTTGCTATATATTAAAGAAGAAATAGGGGCGCCTGGGTGGCGCAGTCGGTTGAGCGTCCGACTTCAGCCAGGTCACGATCTCGCGGTCCGGGAGTTCGAGCCCCGCGTCAGGCGCTGGGCTGATGGCTCAGAGCCTGGAGCCTGTTTCCGATTCTGTGTCCCTCTCTCTCTGCCCCTCCCCCGTTCATGCTCTGTCTCTCTCTGTCCCAAAAATAAATAAACGTTGAAAAAAAAATTAAAAAAAAAAAAAAAAAAAAGAAGAAATAGTAACTTTACCAAGAAATACGAAGGTTAAGTGTGCTTTCTAAATCCTGTGGGGTGTGTGTGTGTCAGACAGTTTGGGGTAGTGTTTTGACTTATGCTTGGTAGTGTCCCTTTGATGATGGTAAATGCAAAGTTAACTCTTTCTTCATTTGAACCTAGTGAAGTATAATTAATGTGTTTAATAGAGAAACTGTAAGTTTTTTGGAGAAAAACAGTATTTACCAGCTTAATTTTACCACAGTAATCTTGGGTCATGGAGTAAGTGGTAGATTGAAGGACTGTTTGCATTTTAGCCCTCATAATTAACACTAATAGTTTTCATTCATCTTTGAGCAAGTCACTTAATCTGCCAGGGCCTCTGTTTTCATGTCCTAATAATAATGAAACCTCTCATTACAGTTTTTCAGAACACTTCACATACATTCCCATTTTGATCATCACAACAGTCCTGTGAGGTATGCATGGCAGATACTACTGTCCTCATTTTACTGACAGGAAACTGAAACTCAGAGGTTAAATGACTTGCCTAAGGTCACAAAATGAGGAAGTTCTAAACGTGTCTCTCTGACTTAGGTCTTGTAAGCAGTGCTCTTGCCTTTAAGTGCTTTTATGTTTATGTCTTTAACATGAAATTAGAGTAACATATTGTTTGATGCGAATTATTACACACCAAAGATAAATGAAAATAAAGCATTTAATGGAAATTCTACAGAAATGAAAGAAAACATTTTCTCATTATTTCTATGTGTAATTCAAATTGGCGTTAACTGACTGTAAAGACTTCCTGCAGGTTGCACTATTTTTTTGGCCTTTATTGATCTTTTTTGTTTGAATAATCTCTGTATTTCTCTGATGGCCTAGTCAGTGAGACACAGTCACTGTGTGAGTCACATTCTTAAACTCAACTGTTCTGAGTCATAGCCAGGAGCAGTAGCTAGCTAACTGAGTAGCATATTTGTTCTAAGGACCAGGAGCCAAGATAACAGTTTTGTTGTATTTTATTTCATGTTACAGTTTTGGTAAGGATATCTTATTTCTGTCTCACTCATCTTATTCATTCAAAGTGATACTTAACTGAGCACCATATTCTATGCAAACAATTGTGTGATCTTGGTGAAGTCATTTAATCTCACTGGGCTGCAATTATTTCACTCCTGTACCTTTATTATTTAACTACAGAGTGGACTAACATAGGGTTTCTAACAATCTGTGGAACTACCTTGGATACTGGAGTGTGGGTAATTGGAGGAGGCTAGCCAGAGGCTGAGTACCCCTTGTGAAATTCTAAATCCTGCCTCCACATTCACTCTCCATGCTCCAGAGTAGCTTCAGTTTTATTCATCTTTATCTATCCACAGAGGTCCGTAATCAGTTGTGTTTACCTATCTGTAGGCTTCTCTCTCTCTTTTCATTTATGCTCCAATCGTTTTCTAGCCTAAATTCAGTTTAATGAGTGAATTTCCAGTCACATATGCAGAGTACTTTTGGAACATTACACCAGAATAGAGTGGTTGATTCTAAAGAGTATAAGAAAAAAAAGAAAACAAATGTGTAGTAGTGTTGACAAGTTAAGAAAACTAATATATTTAAAGAATTGTGGAAAAAAATGAAAAGAAATGGAACAGATACAAAAGGAAAATGGTTTGTTTTCTGGATTTATGTTAGCCTCTTTAATGTTTACAATTATCCCTTAAGATTTTTTTCCTAAAATCTTTTTGTGTTAATGATGTTCTAAAATACTTTTCTTTGACAACTGCCCCATGTTTTATGTTTCCTTACATTTCTTTACTTATTAATTTATTAGAGTTGAGTAAAAGCAGTTCTTATGTTAATTTGTATTTGTTATATGAATCAACAATAAATTCTTTATTTCCTTAATCTGTTTTAAAGTTTGAGAAAACTGAGGATATATTCTGTTTTCTGGTAGAAATTAACATTTGTATCATTTTACAGTCATGCATGCATGCCTGAAATTTGTCATTTTAATTTTTGTTTTTTGAAGGAACTGATGCTACTACGCACATGGATGGTGATCAGATTGTTGTGGAAGTTCAAGAAACTGTTTTTGTTTCAGATGTTGTGGATTCTGATATAACTGTACATAACTTTGTTCCTGATGACCCAGACTCAGTTGTAATCCAAGATGTTATTGAGGATGTTGTTATTGAGGATGTTCAGTGTTCAGATGTCTTAGAAGAAGCAGATGTATCTGAAAATGTCATCATTCCTGAGCAAGTGCTAGGCTCAGATGTAACTGAAGAAGTTTCTGTAGCACATTGTACGGTCCCAGATGATGTTTTAGCTTCTGACCTAACTTCAGCTTCAATGTCTATGCCAGAACATGTCTTAACAAGTGAATCTATACATGTGTCTGATGTTGGACATGTTGAACATACGGTTCATGATAGTGTAGTAGAAGCAGAAATCATCACTGATCCTCTGACAACGGACATTGTTTCAGAAGAAGTATTAGTAGCAGATTGTGCCTCTGAAGCAGTCATAGATGCCAATGGGATCCCTGTGGACCAGCAAGATGATGACAAAAGCAACTGTGAAGACTACCTTATGATTTCCTGTAAGTGTTTATGTACAGTGATTGTCAGAGATATTTTTGAAGCCTTTCTTTTCCATTATATATCACAATGATATTTTCTTCACTTAAAACTTAACTTGAGAATTTTCAACATAAGTGTCGTAAGTCTATGTGCATTATTGTTTTAGGTTGGATCTTGTTAACATAAGCCATAAATAAGAAAGCTAAAATGGTAAAAGTAAGGAGTTATTTCTCTGTGAGAATGGAATACAAAGATGAGAAAAATAAAGGCTGGAAAGAATGAACTATGTGAAATCATGAACAATGTATCAGTTTCACCATTGAACCTTCAAAGGATTTGAGCTTCAAAAAAATCTATTGTCTTTATTGTGCAGTCACGTCTGCACTTAACCTTCTTCATACCAATACTGTTTTCCAGCAAAGTAATGATCATATTTTAAAAAACAAATTTACTATTGACTTTGGAACTCTATGAGTATAATGTCTTGAAATAAAGTAGTCAAATACATAATGTAAACAACTAATTTATGCAGACTTTTAGATTGATTAGAGATTTAATATCTTTGGTTTTATACTGTTCACTGCTTCTTATGGGATACTGGCTTTCTTGATTGGATTAACTTCTTTACCAACGAGAACATAATTAGATATATTTTTGCTTATATAGTAGATCTCCTAATTCTGTTAGTAGATCTTCTGGTAGGTGTCTCTGATTTTTCTGTTTTTCTGCCTAAAACAGAAGAGATAGTAAAATACGTTTTTCACGTATTTTATATTTTTTCATGTGTGTACTTAATTTCTCTTATTCTATGGCTAGTTATTCAATATATATATAATTTATTATTGGAAGCTGCCTACCAGGTAATCCTTTTTTTTTTTTTTAATTTTTTTATTTGTCTATCTAATTTTTTTTTTAATTTTTTTTTCAATGTTTTTTTATTTATTTTTGGGACAGAGAGAGACAGAGCATGAACGGGGGAGGGGCAGAGAGAGAGGGAGACACAGAATTGGAAACAGGCTCCAGGCTCTGAGCCATCAGCCCAGAGCCCGACGCGGGGCTCGAACTCACGGACCGCGAGATCGTGACCTGGCTGAAGTCGGACGCTCAACCGACTGCGCCACCCAGGCGCCCCTATCTAATTTTTTTTTAATCTGGTAGAATACAGGCTAAAATTTTGGAATTTTAATTTAATTTAATTTTTTTTTACATTTATTTTTGAGAGAGAGAGAGCACACGAGGGCAGGAGGGTGCGGGGGGGCGCGGGCAGAGAGAGAAGACACAGAATCTGAAGCAGGCTCCAGGCTCTGAGCTGTCAGCAAAGAGCATGACCCAGGGCTTGAACTCACAAACTGTGAGATCATGACCTGAGCTGAAGTTGGATGCTCAACTCACCTAGATGGCCATAAAATTTTGGAATTTTAAAAATAAGTATACACCAGGAAATATATTTTAAATGTAAATAAGGATATTTTAGGGAAAAGATCTTTACATTTTTTAAAGTTTGTCTTGATAAATTAAGAAAGAGGTTTTTTATTAGACTAGAATTGATGTCTTTTTATGTAAGAACTCTAAAATATATTTCGAAAATATGAAAGCGGAAGGGCATTTGGGTGTCCTAGTTATTTCAGCATTAGACTCCTTTTGGCCTAGGTCATAATCTCATAGTTGTGGGGTCTGGCTCCACAATCAGTGTGGAGCCTGCTTAAGATTTTCTCTCTCTCCCTCTGCCCTTCCCCCCTTCCCTCTCACTAAAATTAAAAAAAAAAAAAATTAAAGAATTTTTTCTAAATTAGAAATTATTAAAGCTGCTCTATAATATTTTATTTATTTATTTTTTTCAATGTTTATTTTTGGGACACAGAGAGACAGAGCATGAACGGGGGAGGGGCAGAGAGAGAGGGAGACACAGAATCGGAAACAGGCTCCAGGCTCTGAGCCATCAGCCCAGAGCCTGACGCGGGGCTCGAACTCACAGACCTCGAGATCATGACTTGGCTGAAGTCGGATGCTTAACCGACTGCGCCACCCAGGCGCCCCTGACCTATAATATTTTAAAGGACATATTACAAGGCAGTAAAAGGAGATAGCAATTAAATTGTTATGGAGAATTTGATTTCAAGAGTTGTCACATTATATTTTTTAAAACATCTAATTTTCAACAAAAATTATGAGACATGCAAAGAAACAAAAATTGCAGTAGAAACACAGGAAAAAGGAAAAAGGTATAATTATAAGTAGGAACTTATTATGAGGAAAACCAGATAGCTTAATAACAAAGGTTTTAAATCACCTGTTTAAATTTGTTCAAAAAACTAAGGAAAACCATTTGTAAAGAACTAAAGGAAAGTGTGAGAATGATATCTCACAAAATAGAGAATATCAATAAAGAGAAATTCTCTTTTATTGTTTTTTAATGTTTATTTTTGAGAGTGAGCACAAGTTGGGTAGGGGCAGAAAGAGAGGGAGACACAGAATCTGAAGGAGGCTCCAGACTCCAAGCACTACCCTACATGGGTTCAGACTCACAAACTGTGAAATCATGACCTGAGTTGAAATCGAACTGACTAAGCCACCGAGGTGCCCCAATAAAGAGAAGTTTTAAAATAAATAGAAATTCTGGACTTTGAAATTACAATAAACTGGGGACTCCTGGGTGACTCAGTCAGTTAAGCAGCCAATTCTTGTTTTCATCTCAGGTCATGATCTCACAGTTTGTGAGTTCAACCTTGCATCAGGTTCATGCTGACATCTCAGAGCCTGCTTGGGATTCTCTTTGTTCCTCTCTCTCTGTCTCTCCCCTGCTGACACATCTCTCTCTCTCTCTCTCTCTCTCTCTCTCTCTCAAAATAAATGAATATACTTTAAAATAAACTGCACACACACCCACAAAAATTGAAGACCTCTGTAGGAGTTAAAATTGAAAACATCTTAAAACAAAAGAGAAGCACAAGAAAAAAAATGCATGTATTCATCAAGTTTGAAAATGTTTTTACCAGAAACTGTCAAGAAAGTGAAAAGATAACAGAGAATGGAAGGAAATATTTGAAAAGCATATACCTAAGGACCTGGTACCTAAGGAACCAGAACATATAAAGAATATCTGCAATTCAATAATAAATAGCAGTCCAATTAAAAAGGGGTATAGACTTGAATAGACATTTCTCCAAAGAAGAAAATAAGCACATGAAAGATGTTCAACATCATTAGACATTTTGGGGATGCAAATCAAAACCTGAATGAGTTAATCATTCACACTTTCAGATGGCTATTTGAACCTCGGGGGTTTATGAGGTCAAGCACTTCATCAGGCTCTGCACTGACAGAGCCTTTCTGCCTGCCCCTCTTGTGCATTCTCTCAAAATAAATAAACATACTTTAACAAGAAAAAATATCAATAGTATTCTTACAGATTTTATTGATAGTTTTGGGTAATAATAGGATTTGATCACAATAAGATGTATCTTGTCTACAAAAACTAAGGTTTCTTTAAAGTGAAGCTGAGTATGCATGAGAATTGCTTAAAATTAGGACAGTTGGAATGTTCTGGTGGGGTTGTGGGTATTGGGAGAGAATAATGATTATAAAGGCAGAAGGCAGTTTGAGTGTTCTTAGTTGCTAGGATCTTTGGTTTATGAAAGCTGACAAATATCTTGTGAGAAATCTGGGGAAAGGGAAATCAGTAGACAATTGTTATGTTCATTGGGATAGGCTGTAGTTGATAAACCTGAATAGCAACCTGCATTTGTTTTTAGGCAAGCCATCAGTAATAAGAACATGAGAATGATAAAAGATTTCTCTATTTATAAGATTAATTAGACAGAATACAGTTGCAGCATCCTTTTTTCCTCTTGCAGCATTGTAGTCAGTTCTCTAGAAACTTAGAAAAGTGAGATAAATAAAACCAACTAAAAATGAAATGAAAATCTGAGTTTTGAAGACTATCTTTTTCATTCCTTCCCCTTACATTTAACTTGCCAGCTCAGTGAACTTGAGGCAAATCACATACTACCCCCAAATTTTTCTTTATTTGGAAAAAGTGAAATAAAATACAAGTGTTGAAGAAATTGTAAGATATCATGCAAAATGGTGACTATTATTAGAAGCAGTCTTTTCCAGAAATTTAGAGAAACCACATTTTTTAAAAAGACAATTATATAGAAATAATTTACTGCTGTCTGAAGATATTTATTCAAGCCTTCTTTGTTTTTAAATTTTAATAGCAGTTTTAAAACCACAGTGAGATTTTACATGATAATAGAACACTTAAGGTGTGTGGGATTTTTTTAATAAGTTGCTTTTGTAATAATTCATTTAGGAATAGCTTTGCTGTTCTCAGGTAGATCTGACATTGGATTTTTTTTTTTTTTTTGATACACTTTTTAAAGCATAGTAGAAGCACCAGGAGCACCTGGGTGGTTCCATCGATTAAGAGTCCAACTGTAGCTCAGGTCATCATCTTGCAGTTCGTGATATTCAGCCCCCCATTGGGTTTGCTGATGTTGGCGCAGAGCCTGCTTCAGATCTCTGTGCCCCTCTTTCTCCCTGTCCCCTGCTTGTTCTCTCCAAAAAAACCAAAAAAAACTGAATACTAAAAAATGATAACAGAAAGATCTTTTATAATTGCAGGTTAAATACATGACATTTTTCAAGCTCCACAGTCATTAGGTAGTCTGTTTTTAAAGAGTTTAATTTTATGACTACCCAGAAATTAACATTTAAGAACATTTTATGTGATCATCTATACATAAGGCATTAGATTTTTCAGTACCTGCTTAGAATCACTTTTTACAAACCTTCTGATAGAGGCCAACTTCCCCAAAAGATTAGTACTTTAGAGAAGTTGTAGATTTATTCAGAACTATCCTAAATAGTTTCCTGAGATCTCTGTCCTAATGCTCTCTCAGTTTGACATTCCAAAGCCACCTTTAGGAAAATAACCTTGGCTCAGTCAGCTGGATGTGTCAAAAAACAAGTATTTAGCATTGAAGAAAAGACTGTACATAATATTAGAATTAAGGGCATGATGCCTGTTTTTGCCCACAAACCATATAAAACATAGCTAAAATACCTTATGTTATATACGGTTTAGGAAAGCTTTGTATCTATGTATATATAATGCAGAGAGTACATATTCATATCCTAAAGCTCTTCTTGGACAGCTCTTTCTCTTTCACTTCTCAAATACTTAACTTGGTCTGTCATTCTTCAGGCAAAGTCGTTGCCTCCTCTTACTCCTGTATATATACCTGAAGATAACCAATCAGGATGTTTTCCTGCTTTCCTCTCCTGCTCTCTTTTCCTTAAGAAGCTAACTACATTTCTATTGATCTGTCCTCCAGTGTTAAAAGGAATAGTGTGTTTCTTCTTAAATGCTTAAGGCAAATTTCTTAAGAATTATATTTTCTCCTTATTTCATCTCCAATTCCCTCTGAGACTTGGACCTCATAATTACTGTGTCCTCTAACTCCAGCCTTCTACTTACTACTTTACTACTCTCACAGATTATGAACATAATTACATATTTTTATTGGTGAAATAGTTGTCTCTTTAATCCTCTAATCCATTCTGACTACTCTCCTTTGTTCTTTTTTTTTCATTCTAAACTTTTTAAAGAAATTAACATCTTTATAGATCCTCAGCCTCCTTGAATCTGATTCCATATAGCACCCACTAAAACACTTTAACCAAGAGTGGTTAAAACACTTTAACCAACCAGGTATTCCTCCTTGGCTTTGTACTTGTCCTGTTATTGCTATGGGCATTAGTAGGACTTTCTGTGTTTGTAAGATTTCTAGATGCTGAAGTAGTTTTGTTCATGGAATGTATTGGGATGGGATGTTCTTGATTTTAATAACAAACTAAATTAGATAAAGTGTTAATGTATTTTCATTTTTTAATGTAGTCTTTTAAAGTACTAAATTCATCTTAATATTAGATATAATTAATTTTATGTAAGAGTTTTGATTAGACACATGAAATTTTTGTGTGGTTTTTTTGATGTTTATTTATCTTGAGACAGAGATTGCCAGCAGTAGAGGGCAGAGATAATTCCAGGCAGGCTCCACATTGTCAGCACAGAGGCCGAGTCAGGGCTCAAACTCATAAACCATGAGACCGTGACCTGAGCCAAAATCAAGAGTCAGGCAGTGGACTGAGCCACCCAGACACCACAGATTTTTAGATCTTTTAAAGAATTTGATGTGAGGGATGCTTGGGTGTCTCAGTTGGTTAAGTGTCCAGTTCCAGCTCAGGTCACAATCACACAGCTCATGAGTTCGAGCCTCACATCAGGCTCTCTGCTGTCAGTATAGGGCCTGCTTAGGATCCTCTGTCTCCCTCTTCTCTGACCCTTCCCACCTGGTTCTCTCTCCTTCTGTCAAAATAAACTTTATAAAATAATAGTAAAGAATTTGATGTGGAATTTGCACATCTCTTTCAAAAATGTCAAAATCTAACTTTTGTCTTTGTTAGCCACTGTTTAAGAAATTAAGATGAAGGTGCCTAGCTGGCCCAGTCTGTAGAGCATGTGACTGTTGAATCTTGGGCTTGTGAGTTCAAACTCCATGTTTGGCATAAGACTTACTTTAAGAAAAAAGAATTAAGGTGTAAAATTAAATGGTCATAACTGTCACCACAGCATTAGGTGAATTGTGCTTGAGTCATGTTTATATTCATCTGATCTCTGCTAATAGAAACCATCTAGTTAATTAATCATTTATTAACTATCACAATTTACCATTGCCTCTTACAAATGTTAGAGAATACATTTCTGAAAACTCCAGAAATTGATTAGGGTTACTTACAACTCTTACAGGTTTTGTTTTGAATTCTCATTTTGCCACTTGCTAGCTATATGACCTCATATAAACATTAAACTTTTCTAAACTGCAGAGTTTGCTTTGCTCTACTGTGAAATGTTGGTGGTATTTTACTTAGTGTAAGCATCACACAGTGCTTATAGTAATCACTTGATAAAACGTAGTTATCTTATAGTATTCTCACATTTTAAAATAATCATCTATTCAATGTCTGTTTTCCCACTGGATTACAAACTTTTTTTTATAGTGTAACTTTTTAAAAAAATTTTATTTAAATTCTAGTTAGTTAATATACAGTGTAATATCAGTTTCAGGTGTACAATCTATTGATTCAATACTTGGATACAACACCCTTAATTAGTTCACCCATTCCTACATCTACCTCCATTTCTGGTTGGATTACGTATTTTTAGTCCATAACTTTTCCATATTTGTATCTCTAGTACTTACCTAGTCCAAAGTCTTATTTATAGTTGTGATAACATTGTCAAATGGATTAAATGAATGCCCAATTAAAAAGATAAAATAAATCTAGAACACTAAAAAGGGAACTGAAAGGAAAATGAGAACCTTTGATGGGTGAATTGAAAAAAACTAAATCAGTATTTTTTGGGGGGCTTTGGTTCTGTTCTCTGCTTGGTCTTCAGCTGTGGCAGCTAAGCCAGTTGTACCTAGAACAGAGAGAGCATTTTTTCAGTCTTTCTCTAGTACACTCAACATCAGTAAATTCAGCTTATGTAGAATTTGAATTGTATTGGCTAAATTTTCATTCATTGCTGTTTGCCAAACTTCCATTTGTGCCAAAGGTAGAAGAGGATAGCCATAACTGGATAGCAGTGGATAAAAGATTATATGGGAATTATGTTTATGGTATTTATTGCAATCCAGAGTCTGATTCTTTGAGATACTGTTTTTTACTTTTATTAATTTTCCAAATGCTAAAGATAATACTGTATTTATCTATTTTATGAAGCTTAAAATATGGAATGTTTCTTCCAAATCCCCTGAAACTCCACTGTGTGCGTCATGTGTGTCTTTATTGGTACATAGGGCACCTTTTTTTTCAAAACATAAAACAGACTACTTTCATTAAGTTATATGAGAATGCTATATGTTTAAGTATACATTTACTGCATTTGTCAGCAATGACCCAGACTAGTTTTATGAAGTCAAGTGGGTGTCTTTATGTGTGTGTATAAAACATGTATGTGTATGTGTAGTTTTATGTTTAAACAGTTTGACATTGTAATTTACATTGATCATTGCAATGTACCTTTCTGAAAAACCTATTTTGATTTTTTTTAATTACAATTCTAAAAGAAGCAGATAAGACCAAGTAATATTCAGTGAAAACAGAGAGTGCTGAGAAAATGTATTAAGACCAGCACTTGCTGATTTTTACTAGTAGAACATTATTTCCATGATCTTTAAGAATATAATAATCGTTTTACCTTATGGATATTAGTGTATTTAAAGATAAAGCATATAATTTAATTACCTTTGTTAATTTTTTAGGTTACCAGGAGCTTAGTTTATATAAAATAATTATCTTAGTATCATCCCATTTTTAGAAGATTTACAAAATGTATTTATTGAATTTTCTACTATTGTAGATGTATATTGTATATGTATATATAATCATTTTTTTTAATGTATGTTTATTTGTCTGTGAGAAAGAGAATCCAAGCAGACTCTGTGCTGTCAGCACAGAGCCCAACATGGGGCTTGATCTCACAAATTGAAAGATTATGACCTGACCTGAAAGCAAGAGTTGGACACTTAATTGAGCCACCAAGGCAACCCTAGAGATTTTATATCTAAAAGGGATTTTCAAAATGGTAATATTTTATTTATTAAGTATCTGTTACTATTATTTATGATGTATTTCTTCTCTTAGTGGATGATCCTGGCAAAATAGAACATGATGCTTCCTCTGGAATGACCATGGATGTAGAGTCAGAAATCGATCCTTGTAAAGTGGATGGCACTTGCCCTGAAGTTATCAAGGTGTACATTTTTAAAGCTGACCCTGGAGAGGATGACTTAGGTAAGAGGAAAGCTTCAGCATATCCTGATAACCCATGTTAACCTGATTAGTTTTGGGTGGTTTAGATTGAGTACATTTGAAAACTTTTCTGAAGATAACTTTTAATCAATGATTTCAATGTAGCAGTGGAAAAGTATATAAAATGTAGTAAGTCCAATGGATGGAATTGAAATTTTAAGATAAATTTTCAGATTGTCATCTTCTCTGTTAGGTGGCACTGTAGACATTGTGGAGAGTGAGCCTGAGAATGACCGTGAGGTTGAATTACTTGATCAAAATAGCAGTATTCGAGTACCAAGGGAAAAGATGGTTTATATGACTGTCAATGACTCTCAGCAAGAAGATGAAGATTTAAGTAAGTAGGTGGACTTGCTGTGGGAGAAAATTTTGTTTGTGTACTTTTAAAAGTGCAACCAATATTTGAAGAAAATAAACACTACTATTATAGATATTATTGTACTGCTATATACCAAAAAGGAACATCAGTGACTGTTAATGTTTGCTTGGGATGTCACTTAAAAAACAAACTATTGTGAAAGCCAGGAAAGGAATGGTTTATTCAACAAATACAGAGTATATAGTATGTGAAAGTAATGTTGTTGGTATGTACCATTTGAACCTCTTTTCTGTTTGTCTGAATTCAACTGATTTTTTTTAGGTTTATTTATTTATTTATTTGCAAGACAGAGAAATTTTGAAAATTTCAAAATAAATTTTGAGGTGGAGGGAGGGGGCAGTGAGGGAGAAAGAATCCTAAGCAGGCTCTGCACTGTCTGTCAGTGCCTAGCCTGATGTGGGGCTTGAACTCATGAACCATGAGATCATGACCTGAGCTAAAATCAAGAGTTAAGACGCTTAGCTGACTGACCCCCAGGTTTCCTCAAACCAAAATATCATCTGATCTCTGTAAACTTGGTCATTAAAGTGTTGTAATTTTCTAATTAGATGTTGCTGAAATTGCTGATGAAGTTTATATGGAAGTGATAGTAGGAGAGGAGGATGCTGCAGTAGCAGCAGCAGCAGCAGCTGCTGTGCATGAACAGCAAATGGATGACAATGAAATCAAAACCTTCATGCCAATAGCATGGGCAGCAGCTTATGGTAAGTCACATACATAATGGTTCGAAGGATTGCATGGTTCTTAAACATAAATTCATTATAAAAAATAGTTTCTATGTTTCAGAAATAGGAAGTACCACATAATGATTTAAGGACAGAGGACGATTGTTTGGTCTGCCTTTGACCTTTAATTTTTTTTAACATCAGTTTCTTTAATGCCTATATTATGTAGGAAATAAGCTTTCAAGGTGAAGTTTATTATCTTGAGTTTATCTGGATCATACCTTCACAATTTTGAGGATCATCAAGGGAGTTCATGGTGCAAAATGCTACAACAGTTGGAAGCTAGGCTTTTCCTATTTTCTTGTATTTAAATATGACCTTACAGCCCATTACCTAAATAGGAAATTTGTCATTCATGAGTATCATGGCTTTTTGCTGTTGTAGTTAATAAAGAATCCCTAATTCTTTATAAAGAATACTGTATAATTTTGTTTTTTAATACACATTGTTAGGTAATAATTCTGATGGCATTGAAAACCGGAATGGCACTGCAAGTGCCCTCTTGCACATAGATGAGTCTGCTGGGCTTGGCAGACTGGCTAAACAAAAACCAAAGAAAAGGAGAAGACCTGATTCCAGGCAGTACCAAACAGGTGAGGGTGCACAAATTCCACAGTGCAGTGTGCTCTGTGAGCTCTTAAATGAAACTAGTATGTATCCACAGAAGTGTTAATGATAGCAATTTAGCTGCTAGATCACATGTAGCTTTTCTTTATTAAATTTGAAAATATAATTTTAAGAATTCAGTGATATTCATGAATGATTTCCTAGAATAAAAACAACAGATTTTGAGTCAGAATAAACTCTCAGGTTATTTTAGGAGAAATTAAAATAAATCCCTAAAATATTTTCTTTAACATTAAATGAACAAATTTAAAGATTATTTCTGTCAGCATAAGCAGGGCTTCTTTACAGAGGAGCAGGACAAATATTTCAGCTGTATACTGGACAGTTCCTTTGCAGTAAAATCTTATATGTTGATTTGCCTATTATAGTTTTTTTAATTAGGTGTGGTTAAACTTTAAGTTGGTATAAATATGACATAATAGTAATAAAACTGAAATGTTGAACTATGTTTTTGTGATATCTGTAGATATCCAAATCTATGTGGCTTTACTATTTTAAACTGGGAGTGAGATTGGTACAGATATACTGAATGAAGTTTCTGACCTAGATTTTGGTCAGATTTTGGAGTTTGCTGTTACCTCTTTTATTTAAAATCAGTGGGAAGAATATTAACCTTTAGGAGTACTTGTCCAATAATGTTCAGAACACACACTTCAAATGCTTGAAGAAACGAAAACAAACCGTTGTTTGATCACTCATGTTCGTTTCTCTTCCTTTCTTAGCAATAATTATTGGCCCTGATGGACATCCCTTAACTGTCTATCCTTGCATGATTTGTGGGAAAAAATTTAAGTCAAGAGGTTTTTTGAAAAGGCACATGAAAAACCATCCCGAACACATTACCAAGAAGAAGTACCACTGTACTGACTGTGATTACACTACCAACAAGAAGATAAGTTTACACAACCACCTGGAGAGCCACAAGCTCACCAGCAAGGCCGAGAAGGCCATCGAATGTGATGAGTGTGGGAAGCATTTCTCTCATGCTGGGGCTTTGTTTACTCACAAAATGGTGCATAAAGAAAAAGCCAACAAAATGCACAAGTGTAAATTCTGTGAATATGAGACAGCTGAACAAGGGTTATTGAATCGCCACCTTTTGGCGGTCCACAGCAAGAACTTTCCTCATATTTGTGTGGAGTGCGGTAAAGGTTTTCGTCACCCGTCAGAGCTCAAGAAGCACATGCGAATCCATACTGGGGAGAAGCCGTACCAGTGCCAGTACTGCGAATATAGGTCTGCAGACTCTTCTAACTTGAAAACGCATGTAAAAACTAAGCATAGTAAAGAGATGCCATTCAAGTGTGACATCTGTCTTCTGACTTTCTCAGATACCAAAGAGGTGCAGCAACATGCTCTTATCCACCAAGAAAGCAAAACACACCAGTGTTTGCACTGCGACCACAAGAGTTCGAACTCGAGCGACTTAAAACGACACATAATTTCAGTCCACACGAAAGACTACCCCCACAAGTGTGACATGTGTGACAAAGGCTTTCACAGGCCTTCCGAACTCAAGAAACACGTGGCTGCCCACAAGGGTAAAAAAATGCACCAGTGTAGACATTGTGACTTTAAGATTGCAGATCCATTTGTTCTAAGTCGCCATATTCTCTCAGTTCACACAAAAGATCTTCCGTTTCGGTGTAAGAGATGTAGAAAGGGATTTAGGCAGCAGAATGAGCTTAAAAAGCACATGAAGACACACAGTGGCAGGAAAGTGTACCAGTGTGAGTACTGTGAGTATAGCACTACAGATGCCTCAGGCTTTAAACGGCATGTTATCTCCATTCATACGAAAGACTATCCTCACCGTTGTGAGTACTGCAAGAAGGGGTTCCGACGACCTTCAGAAAAGAACCAGCACATAATGCGACATCATAAGGAAGTTGGCCTGTCCTAATAGTCTTTATACAGACATTTGTGGAGATATTGGCCCTAAAGCAGAAATCTCATTTTAAAGCCAATCAGTCTCATTCACATGCAATACTGTATATCAGTTTATGCTGTGTACAAATAGAATTATTGCTTCTAGACAACTTTTCTTTACATTTTACTAAATAGAGTGTTCTGGATCCTATTCAGTTTGTTCAGTGGCAAAAAGTAGCAACAATGAAGTTGCTTTTAAAAATGAATCTCTGATGTTGTACTTAACTTTTTCAGTCTTAGAAGTTATACTATTCATAAATATTTATTCACATTGATGGTACTCTTCTAAGACCACTTACAGATTAAAAACACACAGTTGGTTATTCAAAAAGTAATTATTTTCACTCATTTTTCCCCATAAATTTTTTAGATTAAATACAAACATCTACAAATAGAAACAGATTGTATTCTTGGGTCTAATCATTACCTGAAAGTAATTTCCTTGTCTTGCTTAATATTTTCAGACCACATGACAGCGAAACTTTCCATTTGAGTCTCTAGCATTGCTAAATACAGAACATTTGCTAGTTTTATGTTTAATTTTCATTTTATTTAACAAACTAGGCTTTCTTGTGACTTTCTCTGTCGTACATCTTTTCTCTGCATAGCACCCTTTTAGAAAGCTGTTGAAAGGTTTTGCTTTTTCCTGTTTGTTATTTTGCTTTTACATAGTTTTGTTTTGGAATACTTGTGTTCTACAAATGAGACTTACTGAGTTTTAGAATCTTAGAGATAAAGGCCAGTTCATGGGATATTTTGCAACTGCATCTGTAAGTGTGCTACAGATTTTATATGTGCCTATGTGTTGCTTGTTTTACATATTTACACACACAATCCCAAATTTAAGTATAATGAAAAGTATTAAATGCACAGTAAAATGAAAGATCCAGGGATATATGAAAGAACATTTTACAAACTTGCTATTCAGACAGATTAAGTTAACTTGAAGCAAGAATTAGAAGGAAACTTAAGGACAGTGGTATTTTTAAAAACTGAAGTATTTTCTTTTAAGTCTGTTTGGTAATTGAAAAGAGAAGGTATTTCTAGATAAAATATTTTTATATAATTTTAGCTTCATACTTCTGAAAAGCAAATGAATATCTAAACATAAATCTCAGTGCTCAGTTGAGAAGCATGTAAAAGAAACATCTTTTTACAATGTAGAGTAAGATTAATGGCTCCAGAGGATGGCTGCTAATTAAAATTGACAAGGTTAGCCTGGTTTTTTGTTGTTGTTTTACTGTTTCAGTTAGCAAACTTGAAAAAGATTTAATATTCAAGTTAGCTTTGATTAGAAGTTAAAGATGTGTTTAAACTACATAATGAAAATGTTAAACTTTATTCGGAATAGCACCAAGCCTTTTACAGCTTTTGTTTTTTGTCAGTTGGCATGTTTTAAGCAGTCAGTGAGTCATAAACCTATAAAATGATTTCAGACAGTTAATTAGAATTTGGTTGTGTTCGTCTGAATTTTCAAAAATAGAAAACACTTTTTTTTTTTTTTTTTAACTTGAGTATTGGCACATACATACTGGCACGTTATATAAGAATAGAAAAAAACTTTTCCCCTCTTGATCGTTCCCTTGCAACTTCATTATGGTGCTTCCTTCTTTTACTGTAAAGTTTTTACCTTCTGCCTTTTCTCTATGCCACTACTATTCATATTCAGAAGTTATATTTATAGGGTTAGAAATATAAATATTTGGAGGTATTGAAGGCTGGATTAATTTAGTCTACTTTTAAATCAAGTGCTTAGGCATATTTAAACCTAATGCCATTCAAGCAACAGGATGGATTTAGAAACCCCATAAGCCTTCTTGGTCCTCAAATTTGTCTCACCCCAGTTTTAGTGTCCATTGTCCTGAACTTAAAAAATTCTTATTTTTTTGTGTGAGAATCTTTTAATTTCCCTTGCATTTGTTTTTTCCCTGAGGTAATACAAAAGGAAATGTTTAAATAAAAGTTTACATTTAAGAATTTTAAAACATTCTTTAAAATTAATACAGATAAAAACCTTATTTAATTATATTTTAAAAATAAACTGAAGATAAAGAACACAACACTTTACATACTTTATATTGCTCTCATAGTCTGAAGTCTTACACAGTTATTTTGTTTTGTTTTTTTAAGCACAATATCGAAACCTTTAAAAGGTATTTAAGGATTTGGTGAAGTGAATATGATAAAACATTTGTCTTTAAAAAGAAAAAACGAAATTGTACTTACTGTTATGTACCAATATTAGTTGCAGGATGTTTTAGTTCTTAAAACAATTTGATTAGCAAAGCTAAACAAGTTTGGATGTTTCAGTTTAATGTTTTAAAGAGGTACAGATTTTTACAAGAACATAAGTTATTGTTTTGTTGAAATAGCCTATTAAATATTATATGTCTCTTCCTCTGTACACATTGTAAAATACTTAAAGTAAAATACTTGATAAATTCATATAGAAGAGTGTGACACTATTGTAAATGTGTACTTGAGAATAACATGCAGAAATAAAAATAAAAATATTTTCTTGTTAATCGGTGTTTAGTCTATTTGTTTCAGTACTAAGGTAACACTTTTTCATAAAAAGTTTTATTAAATCTAATAAATATAAAATGTACTGTTTTTATTTTCCCATTGCTTAACAGTGGAATACAAAATGCAGAATTTGCTTTTGATTTTGTTATTTGGATGCAGTTGTTAATCCTGTGATTTTACAACTAATATTTTAGAGTAGTACAGAGCTAATTGATGAGTTCTTTGATCAGCCTATCAGTGAAATTCACTTTGTTGTTTTATTTTCACAGAGTATTTGTTATTTTGGGATTTTCATTTCTTCTAACATAAATATTCTCAGAAAAACCAAGCATGAAGTGATGTTTTAAAGCACTTAAAGTTAATTTCATTATAACTCCATAAAGACTGTCCTTCAGTTGTCTTTGTGCCAAGTTTGGAGGACTTTAATAGATACTAACTTTGGTGGGTTATTGTCATAGTCTGAAGTTGCATAAAAATTATGTGAGAAGTTGTCTCATTTTGTTTGGGCTGCTAATTGTGACTCCAGTTATTTTGATAATTTACTTCCCTATTCTCTGGAACCTCGTTTACTTTACATTTTAATTTTTTGAAATGTTTATTTTTGAGAGAGAGAGACCAAGCCTGAGCATGGGAGGGGCAGAGAGAGAGGAGACACAGAATCCAAAAGCAGCCTCCAGGCTGTCAGCTGTCAGCACAGAGCCCAGTGCGGGGCTCCAACTCACAAACCTTGAGATCGTGACCTGAACCAAAGTCAGAGGCTTAACCAACTGAAACACCCAGGTGCCGTAGTTGAAACTTAGTTATGTAATTTTCTTTTATTCCCCACAAATTCTAGGGTTAATGTAAGGAAAAGCATTATGGCCAGTCAGTATCTTACAGATTGGATATTTCAGAGCACTGGTGTTTTGAATTTTGGTCTAGGGATTGCCACGATCAAAATTACTTGGAAGCTTGTTACAAGTACAAAATCTTGGATGCACTCTATACCTATTATATCAAAATTGCATTGGACTCACAAATGTGTTTTAGCCATTTTCAAGTATAAACTATAGTAGGTTAAGTATATCTATAGTTTTGTGAAACTGATCTCCATAACTGTTACATCTTGGCAAATCTGAAGCTATATAATCATTACTCCTTTCTCTACTTGTACCAGTCCTTAGTAGCCACCATTCTACATTTTGTAGAATGATTACTTAAATTCATTTCATAAATAGAATTGTATTTATTTGTGTGTATGACTGACTTATTCACCTACCATCTGTGCTTTAATCCTCATGTTAGCTTTAAGGTTTCCCCATTGAGTACAAAGTTAGCTATGCACTTTTTATATATATACTTTATTATGTTGTAATTCATTTTATTCCTGGTTAGTTGTTTTGACCACAAAAGTGTATTGAGTTTTGTCCAGTGACTTTTCTGAATCAGTTGAGATCATAATGATGTTTTTGTCATCCTGTTACTGTGGTTTGTTATAACCATTGTTTATACATCATGTTTTATAACCCATGGATATATGCCATTTAGGTAGATATCCCATTATGCTGTATAATCCTTTTAATATGCTACTTCATTAGGCTTGCTAATATTTTATTATGGATTTTTATATCAATATTCATCAGGGATATTAGTCTGTACTTTTCTTATTTTTTATTTTATTTATTTTAGAGAAAGAGTGTGAGGGAGAGAGAGAATCTTAAGCAGGCTCCATCCTCAGAGTGGAGTCCATTGCAGGTCTCTATCCCAGAGACCCTGGATCATGAAATGAGCTGAAATCAAGACTCCAATGACCAAGCAACTAAACCACATAGGCTCCCTAGTCTAATTTCCTTGTAATGTCTTTCTCTGGCTTTGGTATCTGATAATTCTGCTTGACAGAAGGAGTTAAGAAATATTCTATTTTCAGAAGACTTCAGTGATGTCTTAATTTTTCCTTAATGTTAATATTCACCTGGGCCACCCAGGTGGCTTAGTTGGTTAAGTCTCAGGTCATGGTCTCACAGTCCATAGACCTGAGCCCCCTGTTGGGCTCTGTGCTGACAGCTTGGAATTCATTCTCTCTTTCCCTCTTCTCTGACCTCATTTGTGCACTCGTGTGCAGTCTGTGTCTTTCAAAATAAATAAATAAACTTTAAAATTTACCAATGAAGCCATACTATTCTAAGCTTTTATTTGGCTGGGTGTTTTTGTGTATGACTAATTAAATATATTTGTTTACAGGTTTTCAGATATTTTTCTTGATATAGTATTTTGTGCATTTTTAAAAATGTGTTCATTTCTTCTATGTTGTCTAAATTGCTGGTGTTGAATTATTCGTGGTATTAAAATTTTTTATGTAAGCTTATTGGTAATAACCTACATTCATTGTTGACTTAAGTAATTTCACACCTTTTTCCTAGCTAAGTTTCTAACTCTTTTAAGTCTAGCTAATTCATATTTTACCAATTTAGTCAAAGCATCAGTTTTTGGTTTTGTTAATTCTTTTTCTGTTGTCCCATTTATCTGTGTACTAATCTTTTTTTCCTTCTTGCTTTGGGTTGTATTTGTTTTACTTTTTTTTTATTTAATTTTTTTTTTTAATCTTTATTTCTTTTTGAGAAAGAGAGACAGTGTGAGCAGGGGAGGGAGAGGGAGAGAGGGGTACACAGAATCTGAAGCAGGCTCCAGGCTCTGCCATCAGCACAGAGCCTGACGCAGGGCTCCAACCCACGAAGCTTGAGATCATGACCTGAGCCGAAGTTGGATGCTCAACCCATTGAGCCACCCAGGTGCCCCATGTTTGCTTTACTGTTTGTATTTAGGGTTTAAACAGTTTTTATGCAATTTTCTGCATATACATACACACACATTTTTAAAAAATATTTATTATTGAGAGAAGCAGAGTGCAAGCAGGTAGGGGCAGAGAAAGAATCTGGAGACAGAATCTGAAGCAGGTTTCAGGCTGTGGGCTGTCAGCACAGAGCCCAACATAGGGCTCAAACTCATGAACTGTGAGATCATGACCTGAGCTGAAGTTGGACGCTTGACCGGCTGAGCCACCCAGGCGCCCCTACACATTTTTTTTATTTTAATGTTTATGTATGTATGTATTTTGAGAGAAAGCATGAATGGGAGGGGCAGCAAGAGGAGAGAGAATCATAAGCAAGCTCTGCCTGACATGGGGCTCAATCTCACAAATCATGAGATCATGACTTGAGGCAAAATCAAGAGTCTGGCACTTAACCAAGTGTGCCACCCAGGCACAGCAAATTTTTCTTCTAATAGAAGTGTTGGTAAGATTTCCCTCTCAGAACTGTTTTCACTGCTTCTGTAATTTTGGTTTCTTGTATTTTTCATTTTACTCGAGATTACTTCCTAATTTCACTTGTGAATTTTTTCTTTGACCTATTGGTGGTTTAATGGGATGTTATTTAATTTCCACATTTTGTAAATAATATGGAGGTGGTGTATGTATTATCCATTTCTAGCCTTATTCCTTTGTGGGTAGAGAAGATGCTTTATATGATTTCAACCTTTTAAAATATATTGAGCTTTGGGACGCCTAGGTGGCTCAGTTGGTTAAGCGTCCCACTCTTGATTTCAGCTCAGGTCATGATCACATGGTTCCTGAGTTCAAGCCCCATGTCAGGCTCTGCACTGACAGTGTGGAGCCCTGGTTGGGATTCTCTCTCCCTCTCTCTCTCTCTCTCTGCCCCCTCCCCCCGTCTTAAAATAAATAACCTATGGTCTATTCCATGTAGAATGTTCCACATGCACTTGAATGGAGGGTATAGTTAGTCTGCAATTGCTGGAATGAATGTTCTGTTTATTGTGTTCAATATCTCTATTTTCTTTTTCATCTTTTTTTCCAGTTTTATCTGTTACTGGGTGTGGATTATTCTATTATGGTACATCTGTTTCTCTTTAATTCT